AAACACACCCATACACAACCCAGATGTTAGAATTAGCAGATAGGATTTTAAGATAACTATGATAAATATGGAAACCTTGGTGGCACAGTGGTTAAGAGCTATGGCTGTTAACCAAAAGGTCGGCAGTTCGAATTCACCAGGTGTTCCTTGGAAACTCTATGGGGCAGTTCTACTCTGTCCTATAGGGTAGCTATAAGTCAGAATCGACTCAATGGCAAAAGGTTTTTGGATGATAAATATGGAAACCCTGGTGGCATAGTGGTATGATAAATATATGCTTAAAAACACACATTTTATAGATTTTACAAATCAGGACCTCACCCACCCCCAACATGCCAGTGAACTTGAGTTGCCCTTGATTTTTAATCAAATTGGGATTTGGAATAGCTTATATTTGAAAGTCTGGGGCAAACAAGTTGAAAGTGATTAATGGCATCCAAACTTAATTATATATTTACACCTCCCAGTAGGACAAGGGAGAGAATAAATGTCATCTCTCTGTAGTGAGAGGGCTTTATTAAAATCTGACAGCAACTATTTAGCAGCAATGAGCTTTGTGCAAGATTACACAGGTTCTCCTTGTCTGGCATCCCAATCTAATCACTGACAGATAGGGTACTTAGGCTCCTAACAGTGAGAAAAAACAGTTGGGATGTGTACGAAACTAAACTTTATCCTCATCTGTCAGTGTGATCTTATCAAGGATTTCTATGATTCTTATAAACAATCATTATATTTTAGCTGAATCAGTAGCATTATGCTCCTTAAGCAGATAGATACCTTCTACTTTAAAACACTTTACACCAATTCCCACCACCCCCCTCCATAAAAGGAATTTGGCTTCAACTTTCTTTTCTTAATCCACTAAGCAATCTCATAAATAAAAAGATAATCACATGTTCTGCATGCCTGATATAATTGTTAAAAGCCTTCTAAGTGTTCTAATTTTATTTACCATTTTGTGAAAATAATATTTACTGAACAAGCTGGATTACCTTCTGTTCCCAGGGAAAAAACCAAGGTCAGTGACGATATACTGAAAGGTCAGCTCAGTAGGTATTATTTTTGCTTAAAAGTTTCCTTAAAATTCTTTAGAGATTGGCATGGCATTTTAGGAATGATTAACTTGGCCTCCCTGATTTTGTTCTTGCTTGTCCGGTGTTCACTTATGTTGACCAAGCCACTCTTGAAGATGCTAACACTACTCTACTACTCTTACTCAGGTGGGGAAACTCTCTTCTCGCAAGTTTTATGGTTCATATTGGTCTCCCAGGAAGATGGCCTCACTAGTTTTCTTTTTTAAATTACCACCTCCTCTCTCCAAGAACTTGTTTCCCCAAAAACAGGATAGGAGAACATCTGAGAGACCAACCCAGAATTATGTCTGTAAACATTCCACCCTATCAACAATTACTAAGTATCCAGGGATAGCACTCAGGCAACTCCATTTTTATCAACCACAAAGTCAGTTCACTGTCCCCAAGCAGTATTTCTTCCAGAAACTTCCGACCTTCATTTGAGAGCTAGAGACTGGCAGCCCACAAATCTGCTTCCTCTCAAAAGTGACCCATAGTGTCCTCTTTTGCGAAGTGCCAGAGATTAATCTCCCCTGAAGACCTTTTTTCCCCTTGTCAGACTGCAAATACATAGGCCAGCACTTAAAACCTATTTGTAATTCTCCCTGCATAAGTCATCAGGTTGAATTATCTCCAAATAGACCTAAATTGCCTATCTGTATGGTACTGCTATCCTGGATGCTACATAAGGCAAATAATATTCTCAGAGGAGAGGACCAGTGTTTTCTTATTTAAGACAAATAGATAAGCATGTGCATATATAAGTCAAATGAATGATGATAGCCATTGAGTATCTTACAGTTCAAGAAACACAATTTTGAGTGCTAGCTATATACCAGGCACCATACTAAGCATTAACCATAGAAAAATGAATGAAACCAGAAGCTCACAATCTAGTGGAAAAAACAAAAACATCATAACATAATGAGTTAAGCCATTAGAGAAATCAAATTAAAACCACAATGAGATACCATCTCACCGGGGCATTACTGGCACAAATCAAAAAAACTGGAAATAACAAATGTTGGAGAGGCTGTGGGGAGACTGGAACTCTTATGCACTGCTGGTGGGAATGCAAAATGATACAACTGTTTTGGAAAATGATATGGTGCTTCCTTAGAAAGCTAAAAATAGAAATACCGTAACATCCAGCAATCCCACTCCTAGGAATATATCCTAGAGAAATAAGAGCTATCACACGAATAGACATATGCACAACCATGTTCACTGCAGCATTGTTCACAACAGCAAAAAGATGCAAACAACCTAGATGCCCATCAACAGATGAATGGATAAAAAAACTATGGTACATACACACAATGGAGTATTATGCAACGATGAAGAACAATGATGAATCTGTGAAGCATCTCATAACATGGATCAAACTGGAGGACATCATGCTGAGTGAAATAAGTCAATCACAAAAGGCCGAAAATTGGATGAGACCTCTACTGTAAAAACTCATGAAGAAGTTTACACACAAAAAGAAACAATCTTTGTTGGTTATGAGGAGTGGGAGGGGCAAATACTAAATAGACAAGAGATAAGTGGTAACTTTGGTGAAGGGTAAGACAGTACACAATACTGAAGAAGCCAGCACAACTTGTACAAGGAAAGGGCATGGAAGCTCCAGAGACACTTCCAAACTCCCTGAGGGACTGAACTGCTGGGCAGAGGGCTATGGGAACCATGGTCTCAGGGAACATTTAGCTCAACTGGCATAAAACACAGCTTATAAAGAAAACGTTCTACATTCTACCTTGATGAGTAGCATCTGGGGTCTTAAAAGCCTGTGAGCAGCCATCTAAGATACTCCACTAGTCTCACCCCTGGGGGACCAAGGGAGAATAAAAACAATAAGATACAAGGAAAAGATTAGTCCAAAGGACTAATGGACCACAACTACCACAGCCTCCAGCAGACTGGGTCCAGTACAACTAGATGGTGCCCAGCTACCAGCACTGACTGCTCTTACCAGGATTACAACAGAGGGTTCCAGGAAGAGCTGGAGAAAAATGTAGAACAAAATTCTAACTCACAAAAAAAGGCCAGACTTACTGGCCTAATGGAGGCTGGAGAAATCCCAAGAGTATGGCCCCCGGACACCCTTTTAGCTCAGTAATGAAGTCACTCCCAAGGTTCACCCTTCAGCCAAAGATTAGATAGCCCCATAAAACAAAACGAGACTAACGGGGCACAACAGTCCAGGGACAAGGACTAGAAGGCAGGAGGGGACAGGAAAGCTGGTCATAGGGAACCCAAGGTTGAGAAAGGACAGTGTTGACATGTTGTGGGGTTGTTAACCATTGTCATAAAACAACATGTGTACTAACTGTTTAATGAGAAACTATTTGTTCTGTAAACCTTCATCTAAAGTACAATTAAAAA